AAAAAAAAAAAAAAGAAGCCATTTTGGACTGCGCCCGGCCGTGGGTGGCGGCCAGATGCACAACCAAAACCAGGGACTTGATGTTCCGAGTGGAACATCAAGATTCCCAGCCCTCGATCGAAGTTCAGATCGAGGGTTAGGCTCAGCCCCGTTTTTTTGGTTGAGCCTCAAGTGGCTGACCACCACTCCAACCCAACTATAAAAGCAGGACTGGCCAGCAACATCCTCACTCAGTTGAGGTCCTGCCCACATTCTGACTGAATGTGGAGTAGTGAGCAGCATTATGCTGAGAGGTGGAGTGGAGTGGAGGTCTGCAGTGAACGTGGGAGTGAAGGCTGCCATAGCCACCACGTCATTTGGTGGAGTGCAGGGAAGGTGCTGCCTGCACAGCACGGCTGCGGCAACTGTTTTTGCTATGGTGCACGGGAAGCTCTGTCCGTTTTGCACGGCAGCGGCAGGTCTTCCGCGAGCGGTGTAGGGGAGGCTTTGCCCTTTTTGCACGGCGGCGGCAGTGTAATTTTGCTAGTGCTGCGGAAGCGCTGTCGAAATTTTGCGGCGGCTGCACATGTTTTAACAGCAGTGGTGCGGAAGCGCTGCCGGTTTTGCACGGCGGCATCGACACTGTCAGTGAGGAAGTGTTGCCATTTTTGGTACAGCGGCAGCGACGTTGTCAAGGGGAGGTATTGTCCATTTGGAGGTTCGACAATGGCGGCAGTGCTGCCGGACTTTTGCAGCGGGGTGGAGCTGGTTTTCTGTGTTGATGTGTGATTGGGAGGTGATGCCGCACGGCGACATAGTACCATTGACGACGCAGCAAGCAGTGGTCCGCATAATTTTTGTGGTGCGCGGCTGTTAAGGTGAATTCGGTGTGGCCTAGAGGTTGGGCTAATGCCGATGCACGATTGGAATTGTGCGGTAGTGGTGTGTAGGCCGGTGACATGAGGGGGACACGGAGTGAGTGCTCGCGTATTGGAGTTGCAGCGCTTGCGGTTTGTGCCAGAAGGACATCCTTAATTTTTGAAGAGGCTCGCGGCACATGCAGTTTCAACCAGGGCCACCTTTATTTTTTTGGCGACGCGGAATGCAAGGGGGATTTGAGAGTGAGACCATTCAGTGCTGTAGCGGCGACGTGGGACCATCTGGGACCATTTTTAGGATCAGGTAGGACTGATTTTGAGATCGGAACCAACATATTGGTGGTTATTGTGAGCGTGCGTGGTGCTTGGAGAAGGTGTGGACTTGCGATTGGTTGTGAGTATCCTTGATAAGGGAAGTACAATTGAGTCTGTTGGGATCACGTGGGAGTCCTTGTTGGGGACACCCTCATGGAGGGTTATCTCGCTTCAGTTTTCCAGCGGATGTGACTTTCGCTCATTTTTGCCCTTGAAGAGTAAGGTGGTCGTTATTCAGTGGAACGACCATGAGTCGTGGAGTTGTGAGCTGCGTATTTTTAGCTTTAACGACGATCGTCTCTTCAACTTTGACTAGAATACGACTCGGCTTTCTTGAGTGAGCCGGATCAAACTTCACTCAAGGTCAGTTGAATGATTCAGACTTCTCTTCACTTTTGTGTGAACCCACACTTTGCTTGACCCTGTTGTTTTGGACGTTTGAAAGAAAAGGTAGAGGAAAGTTGTGTGAATCATGCATGTGAATGGAAAAGTCTGACTTGAATATGGGATTGTACTGTTTTCTTTGCATGTTGTGCAGGTAGGTAGAAAGATGCTTGCTACGGAGATTGGCATTGCCAATTTGGGAGGGAGAAAAGGATTGTCATGTTTTTATCTTTCACTTGCCTGCATGACAAAAGTACTTGAATTATGAAATGAGTAGTTTCAACGGGTGCCATGAAAAAAAACGTGTGAATAAAAAGAAAATGCAGTCAATTGGACTTAGCATTTTTCTAGGATTGACACATTTTATCCGGAATATCCTTGTATATATATACTTGTCAAAGTGATTCTCATTCTCTATTTCATTCAAGTTCTTCATGTCTAAGTTACCATGAACCTAAAAGGGATGAGAATAATTGAAAACTACTTGCGGTCAACGCATTCTCTTTTCTCTAGGAAGCATCCAAGGCGGGGGTTCGTATGCTTTCGGAGCCGGCCCTGTTATCGACTTGGAGTGGACCCGACTTGTTGGGGGTGGTACTTTGCCGACTCGGTGGTGATGGCCCAACCTCTGAGATCCGGGCCTGCGGGCTCGGACGAGGGGAAGGAGTATCCACAGACCACTTCCTAGAGGTGAGGCATGCAACTTCAAGCCATGCACCTGATTGAGAATCATCCGCGAAGCCACCTGTTAGCCAGAAAGATTAAGAATGTATGGAGGTAGGCGTATGCATGTTTAATCATAGGTCGGTGTTCGTTGGAATGAATAATTTTGGCAGCGCGTCTCATCAAGCCAAAACCTAGGCAGTCCGACTACTTGGTCGGCAACGTCAAAGTAATTATCGGTAGTCAACTTCTCGTAGGCAATTGTATGATCGTTTTGTGGAATTCGATCCGGGGTGGTCGGATTGTTCTTAATATCGTGTTGTTGGATCTACCATATGATGATTCTGATTCTTTCAGTCATCTTTTCAGGTTGGGCATGTTGTTGTCGACCACGGTCGACTCTTTTTGGTGAAATTATGTGTGTTTGTTATAACCTTCTTTTGATTGTGTGTCTAAGGGACTAGGATTAATTTTGTGATTTCACGCTTGGTTGAGACCGTCCTAGTCGACCGGCGTCCGCTTCGTACTTAGGAGATCAGCGCCCTAAGGAATGCACGACGTTCGGGTCCACTTGGCGTTAACCAACGTATCTATACTACGACGAATGAGCAAACCCCCTCGGCAGACCTACCTCTGCAATTGCATCTAAAAACTTTCGCATGTGGGTCGGTAGCTCGATAGGGATACGCCCCTAAGGGTGGTGACAGCCCCTTAGGGAAGCAAGCTAATGCCCCGCGGGAACCTATCCTGTCGTAGGGGACCATGAGATGTATTGCTGGTGCACCCGGCTAGAGCGGCGAAGGAGCGATGCAACCACGTCCGTCTCGGCGGTTCGTGGGATATTTATACGTCGTTCCTGAGTTGTCTCTGATTTTGTTTTGTTTTACTCCTGCGTGACATGGTCGGGAGGGCCCTCGTTCACGCGAGGGCCGATGCGCTCGACAGCGCGTTAACGACCTCGTCGGAGAAAAATAGATGGGCAAGGTACTGGTGGCTTAAAGAAAGGAAAAGTAAAGAGGGAATTAAAGGAAAAAAAATAAAGGAGAACGAGGAAAAGGCCTCGTATCAAGTTTGTACCCCGATCTGAAATGTCCTTTTAGTTCTGACTGATCTGAAGGTTTTTGGCTCTAGTGGCGATATACGTATCGTAAGGGTTTTAAAATTTTCATTTTATAATTTCAAACTTAGTCCCCCTCCGGGTCATTTCGCGGGAGGGGGGCCACAACCGGTTTGCCTTTGAAATCGAGGGTCGCTAGCATGTGGCCTAGACTGGTCCAACCCTTTGCGTTCCGTTTACCTCACGCGCGGTCGGCTGAAAACTGCTTCGTAAGGCTCCAAGAGGGGAGCACCCGCAACCGCTTCGGTAGGAAACTCATCACCTCCACGAGGAGGTCATGAGCCCGCTCCTTACCATCGGACCCGGGTACCCATCAACTATGGTTCGACATCCTCTTTTGAGGAAGGGATTAATCGGTCGGTATCCCGATTTTGGGACCACCGCTCACCAAGTTTACAATCTTTGGTCTGCACTCCAGTAGTGACCGTTGAGAATCATTCTAATTTTAAATAATTATTGCTTTCAGACAAAAGGGAGGGATATATATATATATATATATATATATATATATATATATATAAGAGTTTTTTTGGTATTTGATTATGAATAAATGAGTATTGAGGAATTTAACACTTTTCATTCTATATGTAGAGGTTGCGACCTCCTGAAAGACTTATAAGAGAGCACCAGGCATGTCATTTTGCTACGGGCTTGTCAGTGAGCGTCAGACACGCTCCCCCGTTGTCCGAGAGTTGGGACGCTGGTCGTGGCTCGCAACTTAATAGCATCTTTGCCCACACCGTGAGTTTACAGGCTGAAGTTGCGCGCTATTTGGAGTTGACAGCCCGGTACCGTATCCAGTCTATTCAAGGGAGAATCGGCTATGGCGCTCTGCGATGACCTTTATGGCTATAGGCCAGACTATTGGAACCTGATAACACGTTGGTCCCCGATGTCTAGGGAGGGTCCCTAGATAACCACTATTCAGAACGGGGGAGACGAGGTAAAGTTAATGGTCGAAGTAGAAGGGGCGATAGAGGCGGAGATGAGAGACAACCTGAAACTACGGGCTGCGGTCACGGAGGCGAAGAACAAGGCGAAAAGAAGGTGTCGAAGGGATGGGGTCACGGAGGAGATGCAGGTAACAATCACGTATCATGAGGTGGAGACCTCCACTGATACGGTGGAGCGTGAGCAACGACATCTAGACTGCGATTCAGAGGCTGGGAGTGAGGGCGATCTGGGGCGGAGACTCAGTCCTGGCACGGTCTGGACCAGTGGCGACGGGACCACCCGCCCACTGAATATGTGGAGAGCGGCCCAGAGGCCAACTCGCGACAACGGGACCAGGCCCGGTAGGCAACTCCGAGGGGGAGACCAACACTCAATAGTGACAGGGCCAAGAAAACTAAGTGGACTTAGGCATGACGGGGTGAGAGAGGTGTGTGAGAGAGCATGTTGGGATTTTTTTTTAGGGAGTACAGGCGGCATGCTCAACCCGCGAACACGTCTCTTGTTGACGTCACCACTATTGCAGAGGCGATAGCTCTGAGTAGAAGTCTACGAGACTGTCGTGCAGTGAATGAGAAGAAAAAGGAGTGCTAAGGGGTCAGAAGCGGGGGTCAGCCGCGATCGATGAGGGAGAGGCCAGACTCTTTGGGTATGACAAATGCCTGCGGTTTCCATCATCTGCTCGGAAGATCATCATCATCTTGTGCTGAGTCTTTTGTCGTCGGGAAGTATGCACTTGCTCCTCCGGGTTCGCACCTACGACACTGCTTTCTTGAATGAGCGGTCGAGGAAGGATTTGAGATTTGTGAGTAGTGCACTTCATGCATGATCAGTGTGGCAACGCGTTAGCTATTGCACAAAGGAGAGAGATAAGGGTCACAGGTCATGGCGGACACTACTTACTCTGAGTATGTTATGTGCACAGGTGAAATAGTTGACGTCATCATCTCCATCCCTGCTCAGCTCCTGTTGACCTTCTAGTGTGCGAGTTTACGAACTGCTATCTGCAGTTGTGGCTGAGTGGAAGGTCAGGAGGTGGGGATGGTTAACTATGTGTACGTTACTGTGCCGAGAACGCACGAGAGACGTGAATAACAGGTTATTGGTTGTTGTAAGGCCAACTTTGGAAGATACGTGCGTCTAATCACGCTGCCACTTTCTTCCTTTGGGCGCTAGCACTCTCGTGCTTTGCTTCTCATCATCTTTTGCTGTGCCTACGCTGATCAACATGCGTCTGCGTGGATGAAAACCTCT